TTTGGAACAAAGGGCCGAATCTCAACAGATCGTGACGACAAGGCCACTCTACTGCTTACAACACCTCGTTCCCTGTCTAAGTCGTCTGCAAAGGGTTTGASTCCCCGAGCGAAAGAAATTGCGATGAAGAGACCCCCAGGGCGTCGGTGCTCCGCCGTAGGAGGGACAACCCTGAACTTATGCTTTCGGGGCCVGACCGGCTGGCCCTATCGACAGCCTTGTGTCATCGGAAGAGGCCTACACCGTCGCTACAAGCACAGATTCTGACTTAGAGGCGTTCAGTCATAATCCCACGCACGGTAGCTTTGCACCGCTGRCTTTTCAGCCAAGCACAATTGCCAATTGTGCGAACCAACGGTTCTTCTAGTACAGGGTTGGATTACCGTTGCGACGACGGTGCATCAGTAGGGTAAAACTAACCTTTCTCACGACGGTCTAAGCCCAGCTCACATTCCCTGTTGGTGGGTGAACAAGTAAGGCCAAAACCAAACTTTTCAATTCGGATTTCGCAGTTTTCGCTCCCTTGCGGCGGACGTTCCCAGCGGGTTCGAAGGCTGGGGTGCCCTACTCCCCGAGGGGAGGAACCTTAACAAGGTTCGCGAGCCTGTTCAGATTGTCGGAGGTAAGCCACTCCCACCCTCACGAATGCACCCACCGTTGCAACTGTCCCATTTTCCAACACTTGGATCGCCATTGCGTCGCTCAACGGCAAAGGGCCGGTGGTATCTTTCATCATAAAGCCCTATACGAGTCAGAAGAGCTGTGCAGATGTTCAGGTCGTATCGAGGAGGAATGCCAAGCATGGGCAAGCCTCTTGTCGAGGACCTGATGTGCTTAAGAAACTACATCTACACAACTTTCCCCTTCCAGGACGGAAGGGATAGGACTTGCTGTCGCCAACCTTCCACCCTAATCCTTCAGAGCAAGTCCTTTCGTTCCCTTTCGGCGGAAGGGGTAGGACTTGCTCTCGACATATTTGCTACTTCCACCCTAGACCTTGACAGCAAGTCCTTTCTCACGTTGAACTAGAACTAGTCCTAAGACACTTTCATTCTACGGCTCTCCCGTGTCCTCCACATCCACACGGATACAAGGGTCGAGCTCCAAGACTAACCCCAACAAGCGAAGAGGCAAGTGGGCAAGATCGCCGAGGGGCAGGTAGGGGAGACGCCTAACCTGTCTCACGACGGTCTAAACCCAGCTCACGTTCCNTGTTGGTGGGTGAACAATCCAACACTTGGTGAATTCTGCTTCACAATGATAGGAAGAGTCAACATCGAAGGATCAAAAAGACATGTCGGTATAAACGCCGTATGCCACAAGCCACCTATCCCTGTGGTAACTTTTCTGACACCTCTAGCTTCAAGTCCTGAAACGCTAAAGGATCGATAGGCCATGCTCTCACAGTTTGTATTTGTATTGGAAATCAAAATCTAATGAGCTTTTGCCCTTTTGCTCCACACGAGATTTCTGTTCTCGTTGAGCTCATCTTAGGACACCTCCGTTATCTTCTAACAGATGTGCCGCCCCAGCCAAACTCCCCACCTGACAATGTGTTTCGCTTGGATCGTACAGGCCACGAGGGCCTGCACCTTGGATCGAGAAGCAGGGGCAGAGCCCCGGCTCCAACTCACGAAATAAGTAAAATAACATTAAAAGTAGTGGTATTTCACTTGCGCCGTAAGGCTCCCATGTATTCTACACCTCTCAAGTCATTTCACAGAGTCGAACTAGAGTCAAGCTCGACAGGGTCTTCTTTCCCCGCCGATTCTTCCAAGCCCGTTCCCTTGGCTGTGGTTTGGCAGGATGGTAGATAGGGACAGTAGGAATCTTGTTAATCCATTCATGCTCGTCACTAATTAGATGACGAGGCATTTGGCTACCTTAAGAGAGTCATAGTTACTCCCGCCGTYTACCCGCGCTTGGTTGAATCTCTTCACTTTGACATTCAGAGCACTGGGCAGAAATCACATTGCGTCAACATCCGTTGGGACCATCGCGATGCTTTGTTTAAATCAAACAGTCGGAGTCCCCTTGTCCGCACCAGTTCTGAGTCGGCAGTTTGATGCTTAGGGAGAGTCCCACGGCCCCACCCGAAAGGTGGGGACATAAGACATTCTACGCACGTCGGCACACTAGCACGAGGGCTCCGCCCTCGCCGCGAGAGCAACTCAGGCGGACCACCGGCAGCCAACGACATCGAGGCGCAGACCCCTAGGCCCAGCCCTCAGAGCCAATCCTTTTCCCAAGGTTACGGATCCATATTGCCGACTTCCCTTACCTACATTCTTCCTTTGACCAGAGGCTGCTCACCTAGGAGACCTGATGCGGTTACGAGTACTGCCGGGCGTGAGAGGTACCCACAGCTCCAGATTTTCAAGGGCCGTCGGGGGCGCGCTGGACACCACAGGACGCGCGGTGCTTTGCCGGGCGCTGCACCCTATCTCCAGTTGATCCGGTTCCAGGGTGGGCGAGTCGTCAAGAAGGAAAGAGAACCCTTCGCACGGCCCCCGCCGGCATCTCCGGAGCTGCTTACGTTACCGTCCACCTCCACAACCCGGTTCGGGAATATTAACCCGACCCCCTTTCAATGTGTGGCGCGCAGTGCGCCCTTGATACAAGGTTTCCACATCTCTTCGGGGCGACTGACCCATGTCCCAGCGCTGTTCACATGGAACCCTTCTCCACTTCGGTCTTCAAAGTTCTCATTTGAATATTTGCTACTACCACCAAGATCTGCACCGAGACCCGCTTCACCTAGGCTCACGCTCCAGGCTTCGCAGCAGGCCCCGCGCCCTCCTACTCGTCGCGGAGTTAGAATCGCCGCGACGGCCGAGCATAGGTCGCACGCTTCAGCGCCATCCATTTTCGGGGCTAATTGATTCAGCAGGTGAGTTGTTACACACTCCTTAGCGGATTTCGACTTCCATGACCACCGTCCTGCTGTGTGTATCAATCAACACCCTTTGTGGTGTCTGGGTTAGCGCGCAGTTTGGCACCGTGGCTCGACTTTCGGTTCATCCCGCATCGCCAGTTCTGCTTACCAAAAATGGCCCACTTSGAGCTTTCATTGATCCTCGGGGTTCCCTTAAGCAACCCCGAAACCTTACCTATTTAAAGTTTGAGAATAGGTCGAGGGTGTTTCACCCCCGAGGCCTCTAATCATTCGCTTTACCCGATAAAACNGTTCAACAGCTCCAGCTATCCTGAGGGAAACTTCGGAGGGAACCAGCTACTAGACGGTTCGATTAGTCTTTCGCCCCTATACCCAAGTCCGACGAACGATTTGCACGTCAGCATCGCTGCGAGCCTCCACCAGAGTTTCCTCAGGCCTCGCCCTGTTCAGGCATAGTTCACCATCTTTCGGGTCCCAACGGGCATGCTCACACTCAAACCTCTCACAGCAGATCGTGGTTGGCGGACGGTGCACCCGTAGAGGGTTCTCGCGACTCAGGTTTCTTCCGCCTCAGAGGCTAATCACCCTATCTCCCATGCACGTTGAACTTCTTGGTCTATGTTTCAAGATGGGCAGGATAGAGGAATTTCGCCAGCCTCCCGAACACGCAAGAGCTCGAACGGGACCGCCGAAAGAGGCGCGTGCTCAAGGTCCTCGACTGCCGTGACGGCCACCCGTGGGGGGTTTCAATCGCTCCCCACCGCAATGCCGGTCACAGCAGCCCATGCTGGCAGGCACCCCACGTCCAACAAGGGGGGCGACAACACAGTCGCCGTCCACCCCTGCCCAAACGTGAGCGCACGACTTCCCCTCCATCCGCTTCTCGCTCGACAATTGCAAGCACTCTTTAACTCTCTTTTCAAAGTTATTTTCATCCTTCCCTCGCGGTACTTCTTCGCTATCGGTCCCTCGCACATATTTAGCCTTGGATGGGACTTACCACCCAATTGGGGCTGCATTCCCAAGCAACCCGACTCTTGGACAACACCTCGTTGCGCAACAGGGTCCAGCGGTCGACGGGGCTGTCACCCTCTTCGGCGTCCCCTTCCAGGGATCCTGCACACGGCCCGCTGCAGAGGTTGCCTCTCAACACTACAATTCAGGGAGCAACGCAGCCCCCCGATTTTCAGTCTGGGCTATTCCCGGTTCGCTCGCCGCTACCAAGGGAATCCTCGTTGGTTTCTCTTCTCCGCTAGTTATATGCTTAAATTGGGCGGGTGCTCCCGCCCGACCTGAGATCAAAAGGCAAGGCCCGACGTACCTCCACAGCTCGAGGCCGACACCCCCAACCACAAGCCCACCTCAAGCTGATGGGAGCGAATGGAAGGCGGCGACCACACAAACCGGAGGGACGACCTTACGTGCCGTTTTCACGGAAACGAAGACCACCACCCACAAACGGGTGCTGGAGGGCAACAACAGGGCGGAGCGAAACGCACCACTCTGGGCTGCGGCCCCCACAGGCCCGCTCGGAATGCTTTCCAATTCCCTTCCACTTTAGGCTGTCGACGCTCTCCAAGTGGGAAGCGAGGGAAGCCACGACCACGGACCCCACCACTCTCCGAAACGGAAGGCGCTGAGGTCGTGAGGAATCCAGCGATGCTCAGGCGGACCTGCCCTCGGCAGAAGCCTTGGGCGCCACGTRCGTTCAAGGTATCGATGGCTCACGGATTTCTGCAATTCACATTCAGTATCGCATTTCGCTGCGYTCTTCATCGTTGCGAGGGCCAAGATATTCGTTTGCCTAGAGTTCTACAATATGGTGCCGTTCCGACAGGACCGACCCCTCGACCAGAACAGAAGGGGGCCGTCAACCTGGACAGCGACAAATCAGAGCACGTACATCAACTACCACCCGCAAGAGCGGACCAACCCCTTCCACCCAAAATCCAACTACGAGCGTTTTAACTGCAATGGAGCTGGAATTACTGTGGCTGCTGGCACCAGACTTGCCCTCCAATGGATCCKCGTTCAAGGAGTTTACGACTGTTCTGATTCCAATTACCGGTCTCGAAAGAGCCCAGTATTGTTATTTATTGTCACTACCTCCCTATGT